GACTGGTCTGATTTCTATGTCCATGGAAGCATTCAGTGATGGAAATGAGATTGGCATGTTCATGTCCTATGTTTGGGCCCTCAGCCAAGTTACCACTGCCTGAAGGAGAGGCTCTGTTGTTTTTAAACTGGGTGACTCACATGTTCAGAGCAAACAAACAAACAAAGAGGCAAAGGAGTTGTACTGCAATTAAAAATAATACTTTTTCTGAGTTTGATACAGCGTGAGGGCCATTTAAATAAATTGTCAATGCTAGGGCCAGCCCAAATGCCTGCCACAATACAGCAAGAGCCATGTAATAACGTCTTTCATTCTCTCTCAATTTATGCAGAAGTGTTTGACTTGCCCTGGTTAGCTTTGTAGGAAGCAAGGAGAACATCTCTTTGTGAGAGATTTATAAACATGTCCTTGAAGGCTGAACAGAGAGGGGCACGTTCTGCTGAGGAGATGGCAGTTTTTCTAATCTTTGTCACATTCAACTATTGTTGTTTGTTTCACCTTAATGTGACTCTCCCCGTCATGTGCTCTCCCCTAAAACCTTGTAGTTCATTATGTGCAATTTTAATGCAGTCTTTCCTAAATAAAGAAGTGTATGACTATTTACTTCAGAAAAGAATTAAAGTATTTTTGTGCTATGACCTTACAAGTTTTGCTTAGTCATGCAATGAGGCTTTATTCTGTGAGAAGTGACAGGGTTTTACTGGCAATTTGGAGGTCTTTTAGAAAAATGTTAGTCATTAAAGTACTAAAAAATAATTCAGATGTAAAAAACAATAGAAACTTGCATTCATTTAGTTAAAGCAATTTAATACATTGTATTCAAATTAACTTATTTTAACAAACTACAGAGCTTGCCAAATTGTATTTTGTAAGACAAATGAGCACACCTTTGCCAATAACATCCTTTACAGCCATAAATCTATATAAAAGCCATATAGCCTTTATGCCCATTTGAGATGAGCATTTGTTAATTCTGTTAGTCTGCTAGGTGGGAGGCTTGCAGAAGAAAAAGTTTGTCCCAGAGTGCCAAATCCTGAAGTGTGTATCCTGAAGTGTGTATTTTCCTGTGTAGTGTTGTGCTGAACTGCTGCAGTGCTACAGTGAATTAAAGGAAAGGGTAGTAGGGAACAAATAAATTATGTACACACCTCCTAAATAATTAATGAGTATTAGACTGCTCCTTGGTAGTTGAGGCAGGTCTCACACTTCAGGAAAATAAAGAAATGTGTGAAGTTCCAAGTAATTTCTGATGCTGTTTGTTCAGGAGTTTGCAGGATAAATCTTTCACTGGCAGTAGAAGCAGGATAGATTGGTGCTCCCAGCCCTGCCATGGCGGGTAAAACAAAGAAGGGAAGAAATAAAGTCACTGACTCAGGTCTGCATGGAATCTTGTGTAAATCTCAAAGGGTTTTATTTTGGGTGAGAGTTGTTCTGAATTTTGTTTTTTTGAAATCATTGACAAATACAAGTGAAGCCAGCCTCAGTCAGCCTTTCTTGGAGGTAGGACCCACAATTCCTGTTATAAAGGTTTTAATGACGCTCCTATCTCTTGTTGTGATGATCTCCTTGTTATGTGATTCAGACTTCTGAATTTTCTGATAGCTGCTGCTGGAGAAGAAACATGAAAATGTTTATTATTTTCCTGAAAATGTCCCACTGTCTAATGCTTTGATAGTCTGCAGCTTTCAAACCATTCAAACTTGAGGATATGGGAATAACTTCCTTATAGGAATTGGGTGTGTGAAAAATGTGAGTGCTTTCAAATTGGGGTTTATAGGGTCAAACATTTGCTGGAAGAACAAATTAGATACAAGGATAAAAGTGCAAATTTTCCATCCAGGTTCTCAATGCATTACCAGTATGGCTTACTCTAACTTTGCTCTACATTGAGTGCAGCTCAAGAAGGACACAGACCTGCTGGAGCCAGTCCAGCAGGATACAAAGAGGATTAGAGAGATGGAACATCTCTCCTGTGGGAAAAGACTGAGACAGTTAAGGTTGTCATCCTGGAGGACTTTGGGGAGACCTTATGGTGGCCTTCCAGCACTAAAAAATGGCTACAAGAGAGTTGGAAAGAGCCTTTTTACAAGGGCAGGTAGTGACAGGGTGAGGGGGAATGGCTTTAAACTGAAAACCAGTAGGTTTAGATCGGGTGATAAGAAGAAATTTTTACTGTAAATGTGGTGAGACACTTGCAAAGGGTGCTCAGGCAAACTGTGGATGCTTTATTCCTGAAAGTGTTCAAGAAGAGCTTGGATGGAGCTCTGAGCAGTCTGGTCTAGTAGAAGGTGTCCCTGCCCGTGCTGTGAGGTTGGTACCAGTTGATCATTATGGTCTCTTCCAACTCAAGGTCATTCTGTGATTCTGTGATTAAGTCAAATAAGATATTGTCCTTCTTGTTGGTGGTTGTGTGAATGCAGTATGACACACCCTTAACTTCTCAGAGGCTGTTCAATCACAGCCTGTTAGAAACCATATTTCACTAAGGGCTTAAAAATATCAGAGAATGAGCACTACAGCACTTGCCCTTATGGATCTGGTCAGTGCAATCTCCCTGTCATCCGTCTGCTTCAAACCTGCATTAATTGAACACATATTTCACTCTGCCTCTATGTGAATTCTCTTTTCTTGTGGCTCGCTTATTATTTATCATGTTGAGTGAAAAGATTAATTACTATGAAATGGCATTTTTGCAATTCTTTCTCCAAGTTTTAGATTTTTTGCTTAATTGAAACCCCGAATGAAAAGGATTCATAATACATTTTTCTTATTGCTTTCACCATTGATTAGGAAATAAAGAGAAATTGTGTAAAAAAACTCTGGAAAAAAAGGAGACCAGAAATAATTGAACAAACGAAACCAAACAATCAAACATTTTCACAAGTGAAATATATGAACCATTAAAAGTTATTTTTAAATTTATTATTTTAAAACTTCTGTGAAAGTTGTTTTGTATTTTTTACACCATTTATAAAATCTTGTTTCTATTCTTCTGTAAATTTAGTAACTTTTGATTAAGGTGTACTACATGCAGTCACAAATGAAGTTTAAAGCATTTGCCATTACATTTCTCTTCAAAGACCAAGACATCAACACCTGGTATATTGCAGTGCCTGCTCTTTGTGTGACCAGGGTGAATGTTTGTTGACAATGTGAAAACCTGAAAGTTTTACAAGATTGGATGGTCATTCCAATTTAGATGTTCCTCTGAAATTTCCAGTCTTGATTCAAACCATCTGGATCTATAAAACTGATTTTTACTCTTGCCTTGACTATAGGACTGGTCACAACAGTCAATTTACCTCCAGATAGTTTGCTGACTGGAAATTTAATTTGTTTCAGAGAAAAAGGAATGAAATTCTGAAGTGATCAACTGTAGAATAAAATGTATTTATTTCCAAATTTGTTTGATTAATAGTTGGCTTATAGGCCAGTTCTACTATTAAGATATTTCCTAAAAAATTCCCCCACCAACCCCCTCCCATCCCCAAAAATAAAACTAATGCAAAAACCTCAGAAACCCCTCAAAAAGAGATTTTTGGGTTTATCCAGAGATAAACTTTTTGTGTGGCTGTTTTGAAAATCAAGCACCTCAAAAGTATCCAGACTACAATCTGAGTTGATTAGGATCTGTCATCTGTTGTAGTATTCTGCTCATGGTGCACAGACTTTTAAAAAATAATCATTACTATATGAGGAATAAAGCTTATTCCAATTGCTGAGTTGCTGGTGGATAGGAACGGCTGCTGAAAAAAATAAACAACAAACCAAGACCCAACATAAATTTTGTAAAATTCGTAAGTGCTGAAAAGCTGCGGCAGCTTATGGGACATGCCTGATAACAGTTTGCATCTATAACTGGAGTTGTTAGAAAAGTTTTTGTGGTACGTATCAGCTACAAGCACCAGAGGTGTAATGTGGTGAGTTTCCTTAAGGTCTCCAAAGCTTTAACCCCGGAGAGCTGGGGGGGCTGGCAGGCTCAGTCTGCTCGGCAGTTTTTTGGCTCTCATGCTGGATGGCAGCCAGTGCATTAGTGCTGGACCCGTTCCTGCCTGAGCCTGGAATGACTTCCCAGGAGACAGCACAGCCCCCACCAGCCAGTGCTGCAGAGGCAAAGTACTTGAGTAAACTCAGGCCATCTGTTGGCTGCATAAATTAGTTTTCCCTGTTTGCCCATCAAGCTATAAGGTATCCACTTTTTTTTTTTCCTTTTTTTCCATTCCAAATATAGTATTTTTTTCTTTATTCAGTTCTAGTTGGACAGAGATAGGCAAATGCACTTTTTTCTTTTTTCTTTCTTCCTTCTTATGGTTACATGCTTTTCACTCTAGTGTCTTTGATTAACAAATAAAATTATCTCCCTCATATACATATTCTGCTTTGGAAACAGTTAATGGCTCCTCAGAGGTAGCCTTTATTCATGACAGAGGAGAAATACATTTGTATTTCACCTCTTCTCCTCATCTTTTTTCCCCATTTCCCCTTATATATTTCTGCTTTTCCCTCTTTTCCTCTTGTTCCTTGTTTCTCCTTCTCTTTCCTTGTGAATACCAAAACTATCATATGAATAAATAGAAAAGGGACTAAACTGATTAAATTAGTTCAATTGGTATGTTTGTATTTCATCTTTCAAGGAAGACTTCAATTCAGCAATAGCTATTTTATTTGAAATCCAGTCATTTTAAAGGATCACCATTTATCTGCACTCTTAGCATGCCATGGGAATCAGATTCCTGGAGCATTTTGCAGTTGGTTAGTTTGTCACTAAAACTGGTCAATTTTGAAGATTTATTAAATGATTTTTAGTGTCAGCTTCTACCTCTCAGACAAAAAGGTGAAGTACTTCTTTCACAGGACCCAATTGGATTTTCCTAGCAGTAGTCATTATGAAGTTCCAGTAAGAACAGATGACATCTTGATGCCTCTTCTGTCAAGTCACTTGGCTTATTTTGAATGTGTACTGTCATTTTGATTTATTTCCATTTTTTTTTGTTTTGCAGATTTATTTGAAAAATGCAGCAATGTATACTGTAGAAGCAAACAACCCTCGTCAGCTAGTGGAAATTGCAGCCAGAGACATTGAAAAACTTCTAAGTAACAGGTCTAAAGCCTTGGTGGTGAGTACTAATGGTTCAAGTTTTCTATTAGTATTTTACAAGAAATATCTTTTTTTACTACTGAAACTTATTATTTACTATGTTTTCATGGTTATTTTTACTACCTATACACTTAGAGGCAGTGTCAGTGTGATGTGAATAAGACATGACATGTAGAAAGATGGCTCCTGACTTCATGGTAAAAATGAACTTGTTTGTTGGCATAGGGCAGATGTTTATAATATTGACCGACAGATAGGAATCATGGCCAAATAAGAAATTAAGTTATAAATAGAGTGGAAAATATTCCTCTAGGTGACGCACATGAATGTTTATGACTTGAAGATCACTGTGCTTTATAGTCAGTAATGAGCTTGGAGAAACAAGAAACAGGGCATTATTTTTTTTTTTCTGATTTGCTAATTTAACCTGTATTTCAATCATATTTTGTGTGAAGGCCATGCTTCATTATGACCTCACAATTCTTTATGCTTTAAATAAAAAGTATCTGGGTTTTTTTTAAAGTGCTTTTGCCAACAGTATCTTCTATCCTGTAAGACACCAGACCTGGGTAATTGGTTTGTATGGTTCCTACTGACTAAAGACATGGAGGGATCTGGATGAATTAATAAGCATACTTCATTCAGAAGTATGAGTAGTTCTACTAATTCAGAGTAGAACTATTAGAAATAGGTTTAAAGGATGGAAAAGCAGTCTGTATTTCCTTGGACAATTACATATTCAAGTAGACTTGCAAATGAGTTTGAATGTATCATTTAAAGTGAAAGAGAGGACAAAGAGAGATTAATTCACCAACTGTAGATGTCTACTCAGCTGGTTGTCCTAAGCTCATTTTTTTGTTCAATGGAATAAAACAAGTACTCCTCAGTGAGGACTGACCTGACATTTTCTGAGTAACACTTTAAAATGGGATGAACTATAGCTGAGAAGAACTTCTCTCTTTCTCAGCTGGAGAAGCCTCAAATCTAGATGTCTATATTTTAGTGTTTAAAGCTGGGGGAGATGAGTCCCACCCAAAGAGTCCTTTTATCAGTACAGTTCCATGCAGCTGAAGAATCAGTGTGAGTGAAACTGCTGCTGCTTCCCTGAGGACTCTCCTTGTAGGCAACTAAGTTTTGCACTGTCTTTTGTCTGTGCATAGGTACCACAAGAGGTACCCATTGTCCTGCTTTTGGTTCATAGCAGGATTTCATTCTTCCAGTTCCCACTGTTTACCTAATACACAATGTGCATCAGTGTTACCTGGGCCAAAGCTTCTCTAATGCATTCAAATTACTTGAAAATAGGTCTAATATTTTTCTTTTTTTTCTCCTTTTCTTCAGTGGACATGTGTTTATGTGGCATTCTGTGGACTTTGTATTACTGTTACAAAATACTGTAAGCCATTTGCAGACCTTTGTGAATACACAATTTTCCCCACCATTTTCCCTTCAACCCATATAAGGTTGATGCTTATAAGTTATCACAGCAAAAGCTTATATTTTCTCAAGACACAAGATTAATGTAGGGGTTTTTATATGGGTCTGTGGTAGTTTAATCTTAAAATTTTAGGAAAATTAAATAAGTAAGTCCATGCTTACTTTAAGAAATATTCCAGAACAGTTTTTCTGTGAATGTGGAAGAAAGGTGCTTCACTTTAGGCAAGCACATGGTCACATTTTGAAAAGGGCAGTATGATTCAGTTTTCTGATGTAAAAAAAGACTAAATTAGGAGAAGGATGGTCTTTTAGTCCAGTATCTCCTAGCAGTTCAGATACTTATACTAACTTTTCTATTTGCAAATATCCCAGATGTATGCCAATACTTTCAATGACTTCTGATTTGAAACCTTCCTGTAAATTTTTTTTATACACAGGAGAAATTTATTATTTCCTGCACCTATCTGTTGATTTCTACTGAGATGATTTCGTCACCTTCTATATGTATTTCTCTTTCTGCTTTTTACAAGGACGACCTTTATACTGTCAGTTTATAAACTTTATGTGATGAGGCTGAATTATTTACCTGAAGTTTCAGTCTTCCTAAGTCTGATGGGTCACATTTTCTCTGAAATCAGAAGTGGAGTTGAATGGAACTGTTACTAATCACTGCACAGAGGGTTTTACCATTGGGGCTAATATGAGTCAAAGTGTTAATTAAGACCTGAATCCTGAAAAGAGTATGATGCAAGGGCATCAGGCATCCTCTAGTGATGCCATAAGGAAGGTGCCAGTGAATTACATCAACAGCATACCTCAGGGATGTCATGGCTTCCTCTAGGCATGAGACACAAACAACCTTTGCGCAAGGTTATGAAAAACAAATATTAGTAATGACTTTTCTAATAATAAGTTGCCTTCCCTTGAGCTATAAGATCACCTCTAAATTAGAAATATCTCTTGCATTCTGAATTATTTGCGTTTTCATGTACCTATGGGGTAGAAAAATCTTTAACAATGAGACTAAAATTACCAGGTAAATAGGTATGAGTTTCTGTTTGACAGAAGCTTAAACTGGTGGTTGAAATAGATACCTATCTGAGGAATGACAAAGGGGAAAGCCCTGGTCTGAACTCACAGGGCTTTCCTAGATTACTCTTACTAGGAAATGTAATGCATAGAAGAAAAAGGATGAAAAGAAATGGAATATATTCTAGCAAAGTGCAGTGGAGAAAGAGAATAGTATGAATAGTAAGGAGGGAGACAGGCAACAGCCTCCTATTGAAGGATGTCAAAGACTGCCTTGCAGTGCAGCCTGTTGTTGAAATAGTGAACACTTCTTTTTTAGCTTTCTGCTGTTTACTATTGTGTATTTGTCTGGCCTAACCCCACTGAACACCCCTATTTCAATATAATGGATTCCCATTTGCGAATGGTCCTGCAAGGACTAAGGAGCTGGGCTTGATGATTCCTATGGGTCCCTTCAAACTCAAGATATTCTTTAATTCTACAGTTTCACGATACTACAGAGAAGTTAGTATTCTGTCTCTGTGTTCCTTACTAAACGGTGGGTGCAGATGAGCTGTGCAACATTGCAACTGCATCCTCAGGTGTGTGCTGGCAGATGGGTGGAGGCTTCACTGAAAATGTATTCTGCAATAACTATTGGCAAAACTCACAAAGCCTTTCCAGGGATACCAGCAAATAGTATGCCTAGCCCATTGGGCTGTCTGGCACCCAAACTGTTCATTTTTGCTGGAATTTGCTTCAGTTTTTGCATTCCTACCTCATTCATGAGTGCAATAGGTTTCTGAAGGTATGTAGATCATGCTAATGGATCAGAATCTTTTCATTCAAATGGAAAATTTGGAAGACACTAACATTTATTTGATGAGTATCATTAGAAATACTAAATAGAGCACCTGACATTTTACTATATTTATAAAACATAGTGTGAGGACAATATACAAATATTTCCTCATTGACTGTACAAATTTAAACCCTTTTAAAGTTATTAATATAAAAGATTGATTACAAATACTTTTTTATTACTAATGTAAAATACTGTAGTAATCTTGAGATTTGCAAAGATCCTAATTTTTTCTTTTTTTGTCATACTTTAAAATTAGAAAAGTATATTTTAAATACTTCTGGAGTTTTGATTTCTGTTTATGCATTGCATCATGAGGGGACCAAAGTATAATTTTGTTTATGTAATGTATTCAATGTATAAAAAGAAATATTTGGTCCAGTGCTGCAGACCAATTTAAACAACAGTGCAGTATGAAGCTGGTAGCTGTGCAGCCCTTGGCCTTCCTCTCCCCATTGATCAGTACATTTCAGGGAGCATCCTGAATATCCTACAATGGGAAAATCTGTAGTTTTACCACTTCCTTTTGCTCAGATATTTGAATTGAAGATAGTAAGCATTTTGAACCTTTTAGGAAGAAGAAAATTAAAGAAAGAAAATTAAGAATAGCAGATACTTAGTAACAGTCCTTTCAAGCCCAGGCTGAGAAGTTTTAGGGAAAAGGATTAAAACATCCTATTTCTTACTTAGCTAAGATCCCTTTCTGCATTCGAAAATCATTTAATGGTTTACTGTTTTGCAATAGTTTGAAATTAATATTAATTATCCTTCTATCCAAAGGTACAATTTTTCTACAAGTCTTTTCCACAATAAAACTATTTTCCACAATAAAATACCTCTTTCTGGACAGAGTCAATGTCAAGATATTATTTTCAATCCTATGTTGTACACTCACAATGCATTTATTAGTGCATTTTTCTTCCATTAGTGCCCACGCTGTAAGGCAATAGCATAGCCATTAGTGTAAAGCAAACACTTAAGCTCCACTAAAATGCATTTCACTGGAGAATGAGAGACAGTCATATTTTCACTGCCAAATTCCTGCCTATGATTTATTTGTTTTGCTTTGGGGTCATTTGTGTCTGCTTTTAACTAACTGATGTTAAGGTTGCTCAGGGGAAGGCTCTAGTCAGTACCCTTGGCTTCCTGAGCTATGTGTAGATAAAGATGAATTACATGCACATTTGCACCTTATTGCCTAGATTTCTTCAGACATCTCAACCAGAGGCATAATATCTTCATTCTGGCCTCCTTGCTTTGATTTCTTAAGAAAACTGAGGAAGCTGGGTTTCCATGGAAACTGAGGCACAGATTGTGTGCTAGGAGACAGGTTCCCTCTACGTGCTGTTGGGAAATGTCCAAGGTGCACAACTGTGTCTCCGAATGAGGAGCTCAGAATGTTTATCTGCTGGTTTAGATGCAATTTCAACACAGCTGTGCGAGTGTGCCCAAATCTCTCAGTATTTCCTTGCCTGACTGAAATAAGGCTTCACTGTCTCACAATAAAACCGGGATGCTTAAATGTGTTGTAACATATTTTGAGGTTCCCAGGCAGAGAGCCTGTGCACTTTAAATAGGGTTGGGAATTTTTGTGTATCCTGAAAGACCTATAAAAGTAAAATAAATTTTATAGGTGTGCTTGATACAACTGTTTCTTGAAAGGTATCCTCACTCTAGCTTGAGTTTTGATATCTAAAACTAACATAATAGCC